AGTTTGAAAATAGACAAATTAGTTAAGAAGTATGAGAGAAGTCATAATAGGGAAGGGCTAATAGTTACTTCTCAATCGAGGAGGACGAAGAGGAGAAAGAGTTTTATATACTTAGCACTTTTCCAAGTTAGAAGAAGAAGATGAGGGAAGTTCTTTAGCATCGGCTTCCTCTCAAAGGAGCTAAAATGTTGATTGGCATCTGTAAAGGAGAAGAGTGAGGAAGGAGAAGATGAGAACTTTTTGCTAAAGGCTTGCACCTAATTTTTTTTTAAAAAGTGATTGGGAATATGGTGAGAAGGATTGTTACCGTGGCTTTAGTGGAAAGGGCGAGTGTTATGCCCTAGCTTCTTTTGCCTCTTAAATTGGGACCCAAAGGAGGATTATTTTTTGTTGTAGAAAAGCCAACATATGATAGAAATTTAATTTTCATATGATATTATAAGTTGGAGATCTTAAATCACTCTCTATATAAAAGGTATAAAAACTTCTAACATCAAGTCTTTCATACTCAAGCTTTCAAAAACCTATTCCCTACTCAACGCCTATGTTAATCTCAACAAGCAATGAATATAACTATGTAGTTAGGGTAGTAGAATATGTCAAAATTTATTGTAACGAATGCACCTTCTTTTAACTGGAAAGTTCAATTAACGTTGACATAGAGCTAGGGGGTCGATTCGACTTGTAGTTGGCCCCAGGTGAGTTAGTTTTACCAGCCAAGGGGAGGGGCATGTCACATTCTAGCCCGATGCTTGAAATTAGCCAAGATTAGAATGGATGGTCGGACGATGAAAATCAATTTTTTGGTATCCTATTTCTATTACTAACAAGTAAATATTCAAATATTCATGGAAAAGCTACTAAAGAAAATAATTTAACTAAAAAGTAGAAATTTGTAACTCTGATTGTTGTTCACACCTCTTGTACACATTTGCTCCTCTTGTATATTCTTCTTGTTTAAAAGCATAAAACTTAAAAAAAAGTTTTAAAACAACAAAATGAGTTATCTAAACATAACTCAGGAGTAATCACATTTTTAAACTACGATAAACCAAGAAAAAGAATTCAATATTCACTTTGGTTTTTCATATCCCTATAAAAAAATCTTATAATATACTAATACTTCTATCAATGACCTGAACTTAATGAAAATATTCTAAACCTTTATTTGCTTTAAATTTAACATCACTTTTACTCTATACTATTTACATGCATATTTGTCTGTTTGAGGATCACCGTCAACAAAACCTAACACACTCTTGACTGATATTATCTAGTTGACACAACGGTTAGCAATATAAACATCACAATTGTCTGAGGTGGAAAGGTCTTCACTCGCCACTGACTGATATTCTCTCGTCGATACAGCAATTAATGACCTAAACATCACAATTGTCTAAGGTTGTGAGCTCTGCCTACTCGCCCTTGGTCGATACTCCCATCAACATAATGTTTAGTGATCTAAATATCATAATTGTCTAGGGTGATAGAAAACTATGTGAGCGGGTACACTGACGTTCCCTGTCTGCACCATTAGGGGGTGAACTTTTAACAATCATATACAAGCATGCAAGTATTCATATTTATAAATAATTTATTCTTCATAACATGCATTCTTTTGAAACATCTTCATTCATCTGCTAACATTCACTGGAAATAAGAAAAATAATTACTCACCTCAATTATCACTTTAGATTCTTAATCTTTAGTAATGACGTTGTGATAATCTTTATGCTAATATTAATAGCCTATAGAACAAAAAACTAAACTTTAATGTTCAAGCAATGTTCGTTAATAAATTTATTCTTTTTTGTGTTAGCGTATGATTATTTTACTTAAAATTTATGAAGTCATTCTACGATTAACCTCTACACACTTGCCTCAAACTCATCGGCTCGGGTAAACAATATGAAATTGATAAATATGTTAGGATTTCATAATATCTTCGATCATAAAGTGATTTAACCCAAAAAATAACTGATTAGCCTAAACTTACCTTAAACGACTTTCATCGCAATCTGCCCTTCTCCAAATCTGTCAAAACTTCTTCTATATTCTTCCTATCACTTCAGTTCTTTCCTATTTTCGTTGATTTCTCTCTTAAGGCCCTTACGGAAGTTTACAAACCAATTTTGTTACTTTTGACGCATACTCTTCTCCGCTATGGCGTTTGGAAAGGAAAAAGTAGCACGATTCATGACAAATCTCAAAATGGGAGTTGAGGAAAGAAAGGAATATCTCAAATAGCGTAAAATAGAGTTTCACACATACCAAAAATTATTCGAGAGCCTCTATCTTGAGTTGCGGCTTCCTTGGTGCCGCTCTTTTTCCTGTGCTTCCCAACACTGTAGCAAGTGTCGTGGGTTCCTTCAACTGAGCCGCAGAAATTCTAGGAAAATGGAGATATGGAGAGGCATGCGATGAAACTAAGAGATGGGAGAGTAATCGAAGGCTCTGGAGTCAGGATTCCCCATTTGACGCAATATAGCTATAAATATCGCTAGTGAGTCGGCTGGGAACAGTAAGGGTGTGGGAGAATTAAAGACTAATTAGGTTTAATTAATTTAATTAAACTTATAACTTCTGATTTTTATATATTTTATTTTTTTTATAATTTAGATCTAATATTTTATCGAATTGATTAATTTAATGCATAGAATTTTATAAAATTGATTGAGTTGAAACCTGAGGGATGCAAAATTTGGGCTATATTTTAAAGTTGACAATTTTTTTTAATTGTTTCTCAAATTTGATTATTACAGGGCCTCTCCCTCCTTGGTTAGGGTTAGATTTTGTTGTGGTTTTATATCAGGATAGCCTCTGGGATCCCCTTATCTCTTCTACGGTTGAATCCGACGGCGGAAGGTGCTTCGACTATAACTCATCCGAGGTGGTGTGTATCTTCCCCTACTTTTGCTCGTTGTCTCTGTCCATCTCCCTCTCACACTTCTCTTCTACCCGATCTCTATCGCTATTGTAAACCATTTTTCCGCATAATTCCTACCGTCCCGTATCACCATCTATAGTCGCCGCTCTGTCTCCTGTCTCCTGTCTCCTATCCTAGGATTTCCTAACATCCACCTTACCCCTAAACAACAAAAATTTTCTTTCTTATTTCCAAATCATAGCCAAACTTTTATCTGACCCTAATTTTTCCTCGTTGATTTTCGAAATCAACGACCTTTAATCAATGTTTATACCCTATTTCACCCCCCCCCCCCCCCCCCCCCCCCAAACCCAGTATCC